GAAACGTCAGCCTTCCTGCTCCTATGATGCTGCTTGGCCTGCTGTGTTCATCCAGCTCTACACCTTGTTATCTCAGATTTTCCAGCATCTGCAGTTCCTACTATCTCTGGTGAATGTTTCTGTTACTGGTGCTATAATAAAGGTAGTTTTAGTCAGTGAATAACCAGCAAATGTAGTTGCAGCTAACTAGAATAGTAGCTGTACTAAACCAACATCCAGCTTCTGGTAAGGTAGAATTGTTGGTTCTGGCCAGAAGCTCAGCAGGTGGATGCCATGTCTGCAAAGTCATTTTGTATGCATAGAATTTGTATCTGTCAATTTCTCAGTAACTTGCTTTGAATCTCAAGCAAGGTGATAGATTTTTCAACAAGTTTGAACTGTACAGGATTGTGGATAGATTGTTGGTATGTGTCATAGCTTGTTGAAATGATTGCGCTTGCCATATACACTCTCAGGGTGTAGTTTTCTGCCTGTGGTTTGTCTTGTACTGGATTTAATGTCTCCTCCACTTTTTGAGGCAGCATTGGATGGAGCTAACACAATGTGTTACCTTCCTGTTAGCGAAATTCATAAATAAGTCTTAGGTGTTTTCCCACAGTGTCAGTAGATGAACTTTACTCATGGCGTTGTACAATCTGGATTCTTTTTGATTGGAGGTTTGGAGTTTTTCCTTTGACTGGAAAATAATGCTGATGGTGAAAGGAGAAATTAAAGCTTGAAAGTCAGTGTTGCAAAAAGTTATGACCTCCTCTGCCTATCTTTTCATTTGATGTTGGCTTGAGTCTTCTGATTTTATCTCTTCATACTGCTTGCAAAGATGTAAAGAAAGTAAGATCTCTTTGAAATACTGAACGAATTGTCTTTTTTGCTCTGTAGGTTTTGAAGAAGAGTAAAGATGTCTGAAGATCAGGCTGAGGAAACTAGACTCTGTGCCAACTGGTAAGGGACTAACCTGGATACGATTACCTTGATAAATTGCTGAAGTACATGTTTTAAAAGCTACTGTTATTTGGATCTGTCTCAAAGTTTGGTTTCTGGGTGAAGCTTAGGGAATAGCTGTGTCATGCCAACTGAAGGAATTTCTGAGAATTGGGTCAGACCTTTTAAGAACAATACTTGACCAATATCGGGCATGGTAGGAATCCTTTTGTTAATGAAATTTTGTTTTGAGAGCAATTGGTATCTTGCTGATTGATAAACTTAGTCAAGTACTAATTTGTACCTCAAGAACAGATTGTTTATAAACATACTAATTTAGTCCCTATTATATAGAAAAAGCAAAAGCATTATTTGTGAATTATTGGAAGTAAGCCTTGATAGGAAATAATAGGCATAATTAAAAGTTTGGGCAAAGACGTTGGTTTCAAAGAGTGATCTTAAAGCAAGAGAAGTAAGTAGGTTTAGCTAGAGAATTTTACTGCTGAGTCAAAGAATCTCAGAATCCCTAAAGTATGGAAGTAGGCCATTCGGCCCATCAAGTCCACACTGATCCTCTGAAAAGCATCCACCCTGACCCAGTCCCTACCCAATCCCTGTATCCCTCCATTGCCCGTGGCCAATCCACCTAACCTGCACATCTTTGGAGGAAGCTGGAGGAAACCCATGTAGACATGGGGAGAGAGTGCAAACTAAACACAGACAATAACCCAAGGGTACAATTGAACCCAAATCTGTGGAGCTGTGAGGCAGCAATGCCAACTACTGAGCCACTTGCTGCCCCATGTTGGCTGAAGGAATAGCAGTCTGTCATTAAGTGAGAGGTATGGAGGATATGTAAGGTGTTGATGTGAGAAGTTAGTGAGGCTGGAGAGTTAGGATGTGAATGGAATTAAGTACTCAGATGAGAATTTTAAAGTAGGTGTTACCCAGTAGCCTCTGATTCTGTCACCTATCAGTGAATACAAGACCTGTTTTGGGATAGGGAGTGGACAGCACCAGTTTAGATGAGTTAAAGTTTCTGAAAGAGGGTAGCTTTGGATCAAGAAATGACAAAGATGCAGGTGAAGGTTTTGGCAGTAGATGGGTTGAGATACACAGCATTTTGGGTGTTGGCCAAAGAGAGAGGCCTGTTATGGTGGAATAGAATAAAATTATAAACTGTGTTCAATAGAATGTCAAGATTCAAACTGAGGCTGTGCATTAACAGGATCCATAGATGATGCTGAGTTGATGCTGTTTATAGCAATAAAAGTATGACTTTGGTCTGTCTTATGTTAACAGGTGAAATTGTAGTGCAGACAGGGCTGAATGTTAGACAAGAAGCCAATCAATGCAGACAGTGAAGCTATTTTGAGAAATGGTAATGTTTACTTTTAAGAAAAAGATGCAGTGAGGCAGTGTGAAATCCTGAAAAAAGGCTCACAAGATCGAAGCTGGTGAATGAAAATGTTTTCCTTTCAACAGAAGGACAAGAAATCGAGTTCTGGTTTAAAAGGATCCATGAGGTATAACGTGCTAATTATTTTTCATGTGTCACGAAGCTGTGTTTTACTGGATCAGTGATATTGCTTTGTATCTTCAATTCACTGTGAAACAAAACAGCGTAATCAATCAAATCTTGCCATATTCGGTGTCAGCACCACCTGTTTCAGGAAATGGCAGTATTCTTGCGAAGATTACACAGGAGTGCAATTGTTATCCTCAGTCCCAGTGTCGTACACTGAGCCAGAGCTTCAGAACAAACGTTCATAAAAGATGTGTATACAGTCAATGGGGATGCCTGTTCTGCATCTATCAATGATAGACCAAACTTATTACAGTTTGCATTAATAATGAAACATGGTGGGAGATTTGAGTTATGGGCCTGTCTTGAGTTGTTTGAATTTTTTGATTTGTCTAAGAATATTGTTGATTTTATCAAAGAGAATGAGTGGTGGTTATTGCCAAGACCAGTGATTACATAAAATTATTCAATTAGTGACCACTGTCGGTATTGTTGGTCTGTAAACATGGACCTGGTTCAGTTACACCTCAAACAGATTGTACACTCCACCTAAGAAGATACCAGTTGTTTCTTAAAATAAATTTTCGATTAAAAAATCAATTGAAGCAAATTGCACTAAAATACAAAAATACTGTGGTAGAGTATTTGGAAATTTACAAATGTGAGGCTTCATCATAGTCGCTGCTGGCATTTAAAGTCATGGCATTGGCACAGAAAAGGTCCATTCTTACTTGCTATGTAGAATTTACAGAAAATTGGAAGCTGGGTTTCACCCTATCTTTGCAGGGTGTAAAAATTGCCTGAATGCAAATAGTCTTGAGGCTGCCCCTCCCTTGACTTCTTTTCAACAATTTCTTCCTAGAATCACCCATCTGTTATTTTGTTTTTTTTATCTGGATTTCCAAATTGCAAAGTGAAATTCTGCATTACGGTTAGTTTCATATTGATTTCTGACAAAATAGTGTGCATTAAAATTATTACCTCTGATAGGAAACTGTTGTGGGCATTAACCCTATGTCTGCGTTTAGGAAAAATGGCAAGATGTAAATTGAAAGCATTCGGTTTAGTAGAACAGTTGATGTACCATCATGCATAACCATTTTTTTGCCTGTTATTTTCAGTTATTACAAATTGGTTTAAATCTAACATTATTACTCTGGGAAGGATAGCAAAGATTGCATTAACAGGAATTCTTACTGCATTGAATCCCACCATAAATTTTTAAAACTTGCATTTTCTAGCAACCTCATTGGAATCTTGTGGATAGAATCTTCAGAGTGATTTGAATTTATGAAACTTTGGTACAAAGTACAACAGATGTTCTCTATCTCATTTGCCTTTGTTGCAGACTAAGGTTCGAGCATTCACTCAGGCTCTGCCTCCAAATGTTAACAGTGAGTTTGGAGCAGAGTTTGACTGGATTAATGAGCATTCAGCGATGCAAACAGAAAGACACTTGAAGTTTACAGAGAAAAGGACAGCAACTGCTGGGAAATCGTTTTGAATAACGACTGCCAGAGGCCTATTTGGGATTCATCACAAAAGTGCAAACTCTAGTCTTGCCCAGCACCCTTTTTTGGTTTCTTTATTTCCTGAGGTGTACAAAGTCAGAAATCACATGACACCAGGTTTATTTGAAATCACAAGCCCCTTTGTCAAGTCATTAGCACCCCCATGCCAGTCCCTCATTCATGAGGAAGACAGAAGCAAATAGAGTTGAAGTTGTTATTTTGTAACAAAGGTAGTCAATCATGGTATTACCTGGCTTGTTTCACTTACTTACAGCGATTGGTGTCTTTGTCAATTATGACATTTGGGGAGTTTCTCTAAATGGTACTGCTTGATGTTTTGTTGACAGCTGTGTACCTCCCATGTTGCAGTTGAGATGTGCAAGTGGAGCAGATGCTGTCTCTTTCTGATTGCCAGCTTTACATCATTAGAATATCCTCTGTTTTACTTTCAGCCAACGAGACATTCCTGCAACTAACTTCACCATTCATGAAATCCACTGTAGAAGAAATATTGATCTTTGCAGGTATTGTCATGAACCCTTTCCTAAATCTGAGATGGAAGGACATTTTGAAACAGAGCATGCACTGGTAAGTTCAGTAGAATGGTAGTCTTATGGTACATAATTACACAGCCTTTGCATGCAGTTTCTCTCTACTATATTTTTCCCCATTTTCTATACTTAATGTATGCTGATATGTGGTTCCATCATTCCTGGCTGTCCTTGTGTGCCTTTTTCCAAGGAAATGCCTTCATGTATACTAAAAGAGAAGTGCTGGCAGGCCACCTCACAATCCTATCATAACCATTCTTTTCCCCAATTTGAGAAATCTGAAAACATTGAGCAGGAGTGGACCATTTGGCCTTCGAGTCTGCTCAGCCATCCTTTTTGATCATGGCCAGTTATCCAACTGTTCCTGCTTTTTCTCCATAAATTTTGATGTACCTAACTGCTTGTTGAAAACATTTAATGTTTTGACCTCAACCACTTTCTGTGACACAAAATTCCACAGGCTGACCTCGATCTGGGTGAAGAAATTCCTCCTTCTCTCAGTCCTAAATAGCTACCCCATATCCTTAGACTGTGCCCCCAGGACCTGGACTTGCTTGTCATTGAGATCATCCTGCATTTTACCCTGCCTCATCCTGTTAGAATTTGATAGGCTACTGTGAGTTTCCGATCTCTTTTTTTC